TAAGTTGGGAGCAGTATTGTAAGAACAGATAAGAGTAGCTTGCTTCTAAATGTTTTGTCCTTTTACAAGTAAATTGAATTTTGACAGTGAAAAATTGTCATTTTATGAAAGTGATATCTAGCCAGATCTGATATGTTTACTGAATGAGATGGGAGAAATGCATTTAATGCATAAGTTAGATAGTTTATTTCAGTACTGATAAATAAATAGTGATTTTATTTTGAATAGGTGAGGAACTATGTTTGGGGGAGGGTAGTCTTGACCTACTAAATTTGTATTGTAAATTTATAATGAAAATTATATTAAGCTTATGTATGTAAAGAAAATCCAAATACTATATGTACAGATAAAAGTATATATTATATGACTGAAATTAACGAACAAGTTACCCGGAGATGTGGTGGACGACCCACTCCCGGAAATATACAAGGCTCTGAGCAACTTGATCTAGCTGTAAGATCTCCGATTCATTGTGGGGCAGTTGGACTACAGGACCTCCAATTGTCCCTTCCAACTCAAAAAATTCTATGATTCTTTGTTAGTATACATATACAGCTGTTAATCATGTAGTTCACAATTTTTTTCTTTTTAAATGAAGATAAAAAGCAGAACCATATAATTCAGCCTTTAGTGCTAACCATTTTTACAGGATATTTTAAATTTATTATTCCATCTGGGACTCAAATATGTTGTGTAGTCATAGTCCATACAGTACAACACAACAAAAAAGACTAAATGTGAATTGAACGAATGTTCAGTAAATCCCCAAAACATTCTAAGTTCAATGTAAATGAAGACAAAAAAAAAAGAAAAAGTCTGAATACCTTCTGGAATACATCTTGACTATTCAAATCTTCTGGGTCTCAAAATCTGGCCACCAAATACTGCAGAAACTGTTTCTATGGTTTTGGACTCATGTCCAGTCTTATCTAGAGGATGGCAGAACCAGCACATAAAGTATTTACAAAACAAATAGAAGCTAAGTGCAGAAAAGATCTGACGTTTTCAAATTTACCTCAACATAGTGCTTTCCAAGTCAACTGAAGCAGAAGGAGGAAGTAAGATGTATTTTTGTTTTACCAGAATCATCCAATTATTTTCCATGCAGATAAATTTGGGTTCAAATGTCTGCTGGTACACTGCCATCCTTAGCAGATGTCTACTTACGCCTGTGGAAAAAGCAACAACACAGCACTGTTGATGCCTTTTAATATCTGAATACAGCATAATGTCTAACAGCAGAGTTTCAATAATGGATTTTTCGACAGTCAAAATTTCAGCAAGTCAGTTCATATATTCATAAATTTGTCATATCCTGATAATTGTATTTCATGCAATCTGAAGACTATATAGTACATATGCTTCAAAGCTAGGACATCTGTTGCAAATTTACAAATGTAGTTTGCCAAACAACCCTGCAGAGACAGGAGCACACCTGCTCAAACAAGTTGGAACTATTACAAAAGTGCAAACTTGACCTAGGCTTCATGAAACAGCAACAGTGATTTCATAATATATTAAAAAAAAAAAAAAGGATGAAATGTCAGCAATGTAATCTGCAATTTATTGATCGATAAAAACATCTGCTGATTTAATATTCATAAACAAAGCCAAGTAAATTATGCTTCTTCATAGAAGTTCATTTCCAAAAATGGAAAGTTTATAAAAAGTGCCTAATTTTCATTTTTGAAGCAGAATAAAGATTCTGATATTACACTGAACATCCCAATCAATTTGTTGAACAGGATGGTATTATATGGGAGAAAAATTATAAGACAAGCTTAACGAGCTGGAAAATACCAGATGAACCAAGAGGATTCAGTGTTGGCTGTATTCCCACTGGATCAGACTCAGTATGAGGGGACAGACACAGTGGGAAATAGGACCTCGTATCTAATCTAGTCTCACATAATGGGACCTCTATTATTTGCTCTAATGAAAGATATGTCTATGCGATTTTATTTTTTTTTTGCAGGCAGATGTGAATTTTTTCTGCCAGTTTGCTAACCTAACTGGAAGCTGTATATGTCAGACAATGAACCTTTTCTAACACACATTGCTCCTCATTGCATCTTATTAGCTCAGATTTGACATTATCGAGTGTGTCTACATCATTTCTGACTTGGAAGTGGCTGGCTTCCAACTGGCTTTAAGTGTGGGCAGTTGCCATCAAAGTGTTCAACCATATCTGAACTTGAAATCCAATATATACATGCCTTCAGTGTTTTAAAAAAAACCATAGGAGATGTTATTCAGAAAAATAAAATTTGATATCTTATTAGCAGACCACTAAGAAAGGAAAAACATAAGAAATTTTATTTGGTTGATTTCTGAAGAAGGAAAGGCTTATGAGGATAGATTCTTAAGGAGGATGGATCAGACATTCTATCAATATTCTTTCAGCTTTAGAAGTGAGATGACAGGCACAACAACACAGTATGAAATGGAGTGCTATTTCTTCAGTAAAAAAAAACAGTACTATTTCACTGAGAACTAGCAGGTTAGGTCTCCAGATATTCAGCAAGAACATAAAGTCTTGGGGTGATACGAACAGAAAATATGTATACTTCTCTATCAGGTATGATGACAAATGTAGAGGCAAATGTAAGGACTCACACTTGCCTAGGAAGATAGTCCTGTTAATGAGCTAGGCCATGAGGATATGGCAGTCTGGTGTACCATGTTACTAAAGTGGCTGAAATATCTCAAGAGAAATCCGTAAGATGAGTCACTGATGCAGTTTGACTAGCACAACATCATAACGAAGGCACTGCAGTTTTCATATAGTATGAAGTAAAAAAAAACATATAATATGCAGGGAAAATAATGACGTTCATTAAGCAAATGTAAAAAATTAGGCACTGAAAAGTATAACTCATCATTCCTACTGACTACAGTTTTTTTGAATGTCACGGAGTTGATCAGATCAATCTATGTCTGTGACAGGGGCGATAGGCCTCTGCCCTCCCCCCACACCCCAGTCCCACAAAAATGGGAAGGAAGGAAGAGAGGAAAAGAGCAGCGGCAACAATCTATGGAGGAAAACTTATTTTACTATAATATTGGAATACAAGATAACACAATATATACAATTTAATTGAAATTGAGATGAATAAATCAGACAAGATGAGAGAGAGAGAGTTCCCGGAACCGAGTCAAACCTGAAAAGCTTGGAACGGCTTGGAAAGCACCTCCAGCACCCACTGCCAGGCAGCAAGAGAGCGCCCCCCTCCACCTGGAAGGGCCAGATCCCGTGACTTCTGTAATGTACAGGGATAGGTACCTGGGATTGGGCATTAACACTTTAATACCCCGTACACTACATAATGTTTTGATGTGGAATACTGAAACCCAAAGTAAAAACAAACAAACAAACAAGAAACATAGAACCATGACATTGAAGTACGTGTGTAAGTGGGAATTTCCAGTAAAAACTAAGTTGAACCGTTCTGTTCCCAGAGTATTGCATCCTCCTTCCATGTACACAGAGCTAATGGGAGGCAAAGATGCAAGCCAATGTGCCTGTTGTGTCAGTCCAATCTTATACGTGCGTACAAGCATACATGCAGCACACTCCAGTCTACGATTTACAACTGGCCCACATCACATATAAAATATCTTTCTAATTTCCCTTCTTTCTTCAGAAACATTCCAGTCTCATTCTAGAGGAGAATGAGCAGACAGAATGGTGTAGTGCTGAGAAGCAGTGGTAATGAGCTTACCATAAAAATAAAATAATACTTTATAAAATAATTCAAGAAAGAGTTAACATTCTGAAAACTATCATAACTCAGAGTTAGTCCTCAGGAGAACATCAGGGTTTATGGAAGCTATGCATATACTATAGAATATGGTTAACCTTAAGGAAAAAAGTAAAAAAGATATTTACAATTAAGGTGTTTCAGTAACCTAAAATCTTCCTCATTTTTCTATTCTTGGAGAGACTTTTATGAAAGATATACTATTTCAGGCAATTATCAGAAGGTAACCTTGATGACTGTTTTATATTACTCACTAGCTTCCGATCTAATGCTGGGTAAAGGATATGAGAGAGGAAAAGGGGAATGCAGGAAGGTAGGCAGACAAAAAGAGAATGAAGTATATTGCTGTATACATTCCTATATTCTTATGGTAATGACAAGAAAGAAGGAACAGGAGGGTTGGTTTTTTTTTTTCCTTTTTATTAGAGGAAAATGCCTTAATGATCTGAAAATTATGTCTTATGTCTATCTTTGTCATGAGAATGCAAACTGGAATCCTTAGGATGTGAAAATAATAAAAACTTTTTTTTTTTCTCATGATTCACCAAATAGTAAGGAAGCAAAGTAGCCAGTAAGTTCATTTATTTTCAAGGAAAGCTACCAGCATAAGGAATATTCTCCAACATCCATTTTGTTGATCGTAAATGCCATATGAATTTGTTGTAAAATGTCTTCTAATATACCAAAGCATAGCTACATATCTTTTTTTGTTTTGTTTTGGGTTTTTTTGTTTTTTTGTTTTTTTTTGGTGCATTCACATGCCCTGCAGGAAAATAAAAATGGTAATGAGTGAATAATTATTTTCTTTTGTCATTTCTGCAAGTAAGTTCATGTGTATTGTACGTCAGATATATTTTGTCTTCAGTCTAATCAGGTTGCTCTGATGGAAATACGAAAACCTGAAGAATATCATGTTCACTGAACTAGTTGCTCTCTTATAGTTGGGATTTCCTGATATTAACCATCTGTGACTCTAATGGTTTATTAGCACCATTCTTTTTCTCACATGATTCCATCAATTTAATTTTCAAGTCTTTCAATTTTCTGGAAAGCATTCACAAAGCCCATTAAAGATAAGATTTCAATAAACTCCTTTGAAATGTTGATAGTAGTTCTCTCTGCTCTAAAACCTTTATGCTTTCCTTTCCTTTTTAATTGCCTCACCCTTTTCTCAGACCCCTGATCTTTTTTTTTTTTTTTTTTTTAATTTTATTTTTTTCCAGGATTGAGATTTCTTACAGGAAAAAAAAAAAAAAAAAAAAAAAAAAAAAAAAAAAAAAAAAAAAAAAAAAAAAAAAAACAAAGGAAAAAAAAAAAAACAAAAAAACAACAAACAAGTGATGTGGGGTTCTGTTTATAAATTTTGTCCATTTTGGATGTTATGACAGGGCTGGATCTCATTTCTCTGATTCATGTTAGGTTTCATTGTAACCAAAGTAAATATCTTTGTTGCATTTCTGCACTGCTGCTCATTTAGCTTTTGATTTTCTGCACAGAATTTTAGGTCTGATCAGTGCATGAATCTTTTTTCTTGCTTTTAGTGTCAGTTAGTGAATAAATGAGAAACTTTTAGTTACACTTTCGTGCTTTTAGGATATCTGAGGATATTTTTGGATAGTATAACACTATCTGAAAACAGATGATCAATTTTTTATTGATGAGTGTTTCATTATATGGAAAGTATCATATATTTCAAGCAATCCTGTGTTTTGAAACATAAAATATGCTCTGATGGTGAAAAATTAAGTCATTAATCAACTAATTCAAACAAGTATTTTTGTGTATAGGCTAAAGAACTATTATTTAATTTTATGCACCATATTTCTCACAAAACATGCTCCTGTACATTTTGGCATTGCTACAGATATTAATTTATATTGAAATTTATATATGAAAATATGTTAATTTTATACTAATTTATAATTATTAATTTAATATTAATTTATATTAAAAGAGAGAACTTTCAACTGAGAATTGAATATAAGTTTGAATTTTCTGCAGTTTACTCAGTCAGAAAAGGGAAGATGTTGAGGACCCATCTCAACATGTTGAGGTGGATTCTGAGGTCCAGATTTTTCTTTAAAGGTGTCATGGATGTGACTTTTCTTGGCTGCCAGACAGTCACCCAGATGCTGTCACACTCCCCCTCCTTTACAGAACATGAGGAGAAACTTTCATAATTTGAGAAAGGGACACGGAAATTAATTACCAGTTACCACTGTGGATGAAACAGTCTTTACCTGGATATGAATTATTTAATTTATTTCCAATTAGAATATAGAATAGGATGGTGAGAAAGAAAGAGGAAAAATAAAACACATTCCCCAACGCTCCCTTCTTCCAGGGCTCAACATCACTCTATACCCTACTCCTCCTTCTCTTCTCCTACCCTAAACAGCTCATGGGGATGGGGAACAGGAGCTGTGGCCAGACTTTTAACAGCTTCTCTATTCCACTCCTTCCTTCTCACACTTTTCTCCTACTTCAGAGTTGATCCTACCCACAGACTGCGGTCCTTCATGGCGTGCTCTCTTCTTTACATTATCTTTCTCATAAAACTTCATTTCTAACTTTAGAGCCTTATGTTTTCTGGTAAATAGTATCTGTCCTATTCCAAGTTTCTGATGTGTATGTCCAGTCCACTCAAGAAAGAAAACAAAATCTTTCGTGAGCTTACAATTGTGCATCTTCTACTGTGCAAATAGAGCTCTAAATTAACAAATAAGAAAGAATTTATTGTAGTAACACTAATGCTTTAATGATTACTGCAAACATTTTCTATAAGCTTTGCAATTTAAAGGCTCAAAACACAAAGCTTCATTTGCTGACTTCTGTTGAAATAAAATCAAGTGGCTGAACATACAATAAATTACTATTCAATTGCTTATGTATCACTAGCATTTTTTTCCTTTTCCATTGTATAACTCTTCTAATTTTTTCAATAAAGTTCAGGAGGCTTCACGCAATGATATATTAGACTTTCCACTGACAACTCTGAAAATGAGATAAAGTTGCCACTGTTACGTATAAGAAAAGATACATGATTTTTCACTGATAACTGAGCAGTATCTTTTCCAAACTCAAAAATCAAAGATTTGAACTTCAACACAAGCTGAGAGCTGGGATTGTCCAGTCTGGAGAAGAGAGGGCTCCGAGGTGACCTGAGAGTGTCCTTTCAGTATCTAAAGGGCAACTCTGAGAAAGAAGGGGACAGACCCTTTAGCAGGGTCTGTGATGACAGGACAAGGGGAAATGCTTTCAAACTATAAGAAAGGAGATATAGATTGAACATAAGGAAACACACACTGTGTATGTATGTTAAATTAAATAGTGTGCTGCACAATTGTTATAATGTTTTTTTTTTTTTATTCCATTGTTATAATGTTTTTTTTATTCCAGGGCAGTTATTCAGGGTAACTTGTTTCAGTAGTTCCTTAAAAAACTGACTCAAGTTCATAGTGTTCTCTTTCCTCTGTATAGATCATTCTACACTTCTTTGTGTTTGGAATTAATCTCCTTTTCTCCCTGTGACTATGAGTAGCAATGCATACATTATGAATTTGGATGCTTGACATTTATACAGCAAGACTGTGACAATATGGCTTTGAATTCAAAATAGCACTATCAGTGTGGTCCTGACAGAAAAATGATTTTTCCATTCTTTTTATTGTACCTTCTACAATTGACAACATTAGAGATAAGTAGAGCTATTCCCTACTTCGTTCCCTGAAGTATGGCAGAATAAAGCAAGAGTAGAGACTAACGCTCTTCTCAAGGTGTAGAGAGTTCATTTTGACTTCAACACATTTTTACTGAGAGAGCTGTCTACAATTTTGTCCAGCAAATATTAAAAAAATGAATATTCTATTTATCCAGAATAGGAAGGAATTATTTTGTCTTGAAACACCAGAAACTCCCAAACACTTGTTTAGAGAGATTTGTATGTATTTCTGATGAACATTTTTGTAATCTTAAAAAATGTCACTCTTCTGATACCATTTTATGCCTTTTTGCACATCTGTCACATTAAGCTTGACAGATTCCTTTAAAGGAGAGTGCTTTAGCTTACTGAATTGGGTTGTTCCATCCACATGCTTAATTTAAGTGATGGACATGGTACATGGTAAAATATATTCCAATTTTTAGACATAATAACTTGATAGCTGACAGATACTTCACGTGAAACCATTAGGGACATTTCTCAATACGGACACATCTGTGTTTTTGTGGATTCCTGTGCCAAGTTACTTCAATATTATGTTGTTTGGTGACAATCTGGAAGGCCTTCACTACATTAAAGAAAAGTTAAAGAGAAAATACACCTGGCAGCTCAGGGCAGATGATTCAGGTACCATACGCTTCAAGCTATTTTAAAGAGAAATCACATCTATTTCTCTGACTACAGCACTGAGATTTCACAGGCTAGCAAGCCCTTCCAGGGACATATGATTAGTTATATGCTTGGTGTATTTCACTTATAGCAAATACTGTATATCAGAATTTGGTTTGGAGTCAGGCATAGAGAAACTTCTCAGCTAGTTTACTAAAGTACAACACCAAATATTAGAATTGAATTGAGAGAATACAGGACTATAATTTTCAATGTTTTGGCTACATTTGCTTTAATCATTCTTATATACATTCTAACGTATTCCAGATCTTCATTTAGAATTATATCTTGACCTCTGATCTTTATGTTAGTTTGGGGGAAGGAAGATTTCAGGTTTGGGAGAAAACTTAATTACTATATAATATAAAGTTATACCCTAGGTTTTGGGAAATTGCTTTAATTCTGCAACTTTATACATTTAAGTATTGCCATGGTTTTAGTTGGGACAGAGGTAATTTTCTTCATAGGGTCTTTCGTACTTTTTCCTTTTCTACTTTCTCCATCATTCCACTTGAAAGTGAATGAGTGGCTGTGTGTTGCTAAGCTGCCTGCTGAAGTTGAACCAAAACAAGTATTTCAATGCATAAACTACAATTCTTCAGCATAAAAGATATGCATTTAAATTACATAAATCTAATTTCTGCCTGAAACTCATTTGGATACTGTCCTGGAAATTAAGGTAAATTTTCATTATAGTTCTTAAACTCCAAGATTATCTGATGAAAGAAAATCTCCCTCACAGTGATACAACTAGCCATCATGTCTGTATCCTTCAGCATCATTTTAATACAGAAATTAGAATGAAACATGCTTCATTAGAAGGTTTGGCAGAAGCATGCTGCAGTTCGGACATCTCTCTTTGCCAGGTTGCCTTGGAAAGTCATAATAGGAAGAGCAATAATTATTATAAATAGTAGCAATAATACTGAATAAAATTGAATAATATAAATAAGATTACAAAAATGTTGGCTGAAAGGGTTTTCTATGGGCCATTTAGTCCAGCTCAAAGAAAGACTATTGCAGGCAGTAGGTTAGGTGAGCCACAGCTTTTTCAAGACAAGTATGGAAAAAGCAAGAATGGAGATTTCTCAGCCTCTCAGCTCTTCCTAATCTCTTTTTAGATAATGGGAAACAAGTCTTAACTAATATTCACTCATTCTTCTCTATAAACTAAAGCTAATCCATCTATTTTAAATTCTGACTATTTTCATTCATTTCTCTCCTGACAAAACCAATATTTATTAATGTAACTGCTGTTCATAATGGCTTGAACAAATTTACTTTGAATGCAGGTCATCAGCTTATCCATTGTTGCTTCATTGTCATTGCATTTGATGTGTCAAAATCATGTTGTTTTCTTTATGTTTGCCAGTTTGATGAAATATTAGGAAAGAGTATTTATAAATAGCAAATATCTATGTTTACATATCAGCGTGAATATTTTTACAGAGTAGAAGTATTCCTCATGTGCTTAGGTAAACAAACAAACAAACAAAACAAAACAAAAAACAGTACCCAGCAGTGATGGGGCATAAAAATGACTCTGTAAGTACAGAAAAATGCATTAGCTTATAAATAACTAGGTCTAAAAGCAAGATGCAAGTGTATGAGAGTTTTCTTCCCCTTAGTTTCCTTTCTGCCATCACTTCAATGTTTGAGACCGAACAGCTCAAGAGAGCAACTTAAACAGCCTGCTAAGATCTGATCAGACTTGGGCATTTAAGGCATTTTGCTGTTCTAGGAAGTTCTCTTTTGACAATTGGAGATAAAGGCAGTGAGTTGGAGTATCTAGGGCAGAGGAGACACTGAGATCAGAACTGCAGAGAAGCAAGAGTAAAAAATCTATCTACAAATTCGCTTCCATTTTAAATACAGTTAAACCGAAACACAATTAACAGTTTGTATGTATAGAAATAGAATGAATATTCACAGTGGTGGAAGTTG